GATTTTCATGTTATACATTTTCTCTCCAAGACTGTATGTAAAAACATGTGAAGGAATTCCAAGCTTCTCAGGATGGAAAAAGAAAAATCGTACTGCATTAACTTTTTATTTCCCTGTTTTTCCAGGCTGTGTTTGGGATTCTTTCATCATCATTTTTATTCATGCCTGAAATTAAAACCACCCTTCATTGTTGTATTACAATTCCTCACAGAAACTACTCTTTTCCATTGAATTTTAAGATACACTTTTCAGAGTTTAATTCAGCATTTAATTCAGCAATTGCTTACGAACACATCTCTAAAGTCCCTTTTTTCCACAAGAACACATTCCTGTTCTGCAGCTGCTAATACAGAAGTTCTTTGGATGAATGGCTGTTCAGGTATTCAGAAACCCATCGTATCATGACAAACTACTCTGATGTTCGTTTTCAATATCCTAGAAACAACTTAAGAAGCAACACTTATTGGAAGTAATTTAGAACAACAATATTAAACCATCAACAGGATAGATCTACTTCTAGCAAGTGTTTCACTCAGCATAATATTTTTTCCTAAATACACTATCTTTCTGGGAAAATTCTTATATATTTTTCCTTTTGCTCTGAGAAGCATACCCCTTGTTCATGTGTTGAAGACAAATGATTATGGGATAACTTCTGCATTCACTATAGTATTTCATTCTTTTCCTCTCTCCAGTCTTCACATTTTGATTTATCTGTCCCTATGTCTATAACATCACAATACATATGACCTGCATTTCCTTCCCTTCTTCTAAACTGTATCTTTAAATAAAGACTCCTCACCTTTCTGAAGATGTTTAAAATAATCTGCCTCTGTAAATATGCTGTCGTCAGCTAGAAGTGCTCATTATTAAAATGATTACATCTAAATTTGAATAATTCTCTGGTTGATATCTATATCCAATACTGCCTACCATGTCATAGAATTAAGTTAATAAGAAGAGTCTATGCGTTTTCATGTGTTATACAGCAGTCACTCTAGTATAAGAATATTAGAGATGCCAATAAGCTTAAATTAAATAAATTTCATTCAATAGAAACTTTCAGTGTTGGAAATGGACATAGTTAGCAGGAAAAGTGGAAGCCCACAGGGTAGGTAACAGAGGAGGAATCTGTCTTTAATCTGATTTTGGAATGAGCAATAGGTGAAGAGTATGTAGAACTTCTCGTAACTATTTCACTTGTACAAACGGAGCAATGACCCTGGCATCTTCACTTTGCCAAGCACTCCAGCACCTGCTCCAGCAAAGTCCCTTGACACATACTCAGCTTTAGTTTCTGAAGAGGCAGATGACAGCTACATCTGTCTCCCAGACTTTACTGGATCTTAACCAGAATATCCTTCAAGAATATTCTTCAAATAGTTACTGAATTATGAAGTATACTTTACTTCATAAATGTAATACATTTTATATACGTTTTACAAACATATATAAAATGTTTGAAAAGAATCTCACAAACCATTAAAAAGTGAATTAGTAAAGTAGTAACCCCTTGCATATTTATTTACTTTTTTAGTACAGAAACATAATAGTGAACGAAAGGTCACCTATACATCTGATCTATCTATATCTGAAGCTGAGACATTATTCCTTGATATGCCTATGCTAAACCTGCCTAGAGGAAAACGGAATATAAACTGAAGAACACAACTGAGAAAAGGAAAAATGCATCTTCTGCAAACTATTCTGCATGCTTGGCTCCAGTTTTAAGCAAAGTTGTCTGTTCTCATTTCTTATAAATCAGTTTACCAATTCCTGCTTGGGAGGTAACTGCTCAGACTTCTCACACGACTGCGCTCCTAAGGGAATCCAATTTCTCAGTTTAACATGCCCAGGGCACCTGCTTTCCTTACTAACAAGACAATCTCATTGTCACTGACATTAGAGGAAATACCAGTACATTTGACAGCAGTGATGTTTGGAATTGAATATAGATATCACACCATCAAAAATAACATGGCAGCTTACTAGAAAATTTAAGAATAGGAGGACTTCGAAAGCTTTTATTTATGTTAAAAAAAGAATTGACAAATCAATATGTTTAATCAATTACCATATTAAGAAGTAGTTTGATTAATTTTTTTTTTAAGACAAAAAATGGCCAGCTTATTGCAGCAAACTCTGCCTAGGAATATCAAGAATATACTTCAGCAGTTATTGCTAACAGTGTTTTACATCAATTATAGACAAACGTGAAAAATTTGAAACTGCTGCTAGGAAGAACATTGATCTTCATAGCAAGAAGTGATGTTTAGAAAAATTAAATTATTTTTTCCATTCTGAGAAAGCTTTCAGAGATTATTGTACTAGACCTCTTTTTAATATTTCTCTTTCTGAAGACTGTGCTGCAAGTTCCAAAAAGCCTTAGGAACTAAGCTATCAATCATTACAAGTTATATTAGAAGAGAAAATGACAAGCATGAGTAAATATCTGTAAATATTCTTTTTGGAGTTAGGTTTATTTGGGCTGTTTATTAAAAACACAACTGCTCTGTTAATGCTATAGAACACAAACCATATGTTTAATATATATACATATATATATGCATTTTAATAAGTGAAATGGTTAGAAATGTTAAAACAGTTTGTGGTAATATATATATGTTAAATATTCCAAATCTTGGCTCAGCAATAAAATTCCAGATGACATTTTTATAACAAGACACATGTTATTTTTGAGTGCATCAGAAATACAAATAACACTATATCCATGTTCAAAGAACTAGGAATAATAAATATTTACAATTTTTTTTAATTTCTGTAGCATAAGATGCAGTGGAGTTTACATTAAAGTACTAGATTCATAGAATCATAGAACCATAGAATGGCCTGGGTTGAAAAGGACATCAAAGATCATCTAGTTTCAATCCCCCTGCTATGTTCAGGGTCACCAGCCACTAGACCAGGCTGCCCAGAGTCACATCCAGCCTGGCCTTGAATGCATCCAGGGATCCACAACCTCCTTGGGCAACCTGTTCCAGTGTGTCACCACCCTCTGAGTGCAAAACTTCCTCCTAATATCTAACCTAAAACTCCCCTGTCTCAGTTTAAAACCATTCCCCCTTGTTCTATCACTATCTACCCTTGTAAACAGATTGAAAACTACCCCTAAAAGAGAATGATTGTACTCTGAAAGATTCTATGTAAAAGGCTAAGAGACAGAGATTACGGTTCAAATAGCCATGGCTGGAAACAAGACCATAGTTTCTACAAAGTCTTAGATGAAGGAAAACCAAAATCTTAGGGACATTTTAGTGCCTGCCTTTACTGAGTTCACTTTTTGAATCTTTCTAGCTGCTTGTTCTTGATTTGAAACTTGCCATTTTCCATAGCACTTTTTTTTATCTTAGAAAAATGTCAAATCAAATTTCCTCTTGCAATTTTCAGCACTGTCAAAAGCTTCAGCTCATTTATCATTCAGGTGATGAATTATTGTATGCAAAGTATCTGAAGAGCGTAGTCTGTTTGAAAGCAGCAACTACAAAGATAAAAAAACAATTTAACATTTCCCTGTATAACTAGTGTATTAGATATAAAACAGAGACAGTGTAAGATTTAGTGTGCTTTAGATAGTTTTCTAAGTTCCTGTACTACAGTAAATGAAATTCCTTGTCTGTTTCCCTCTCCACACCAATGGACTGTAACTAAAGTTACAGAAATACAGATTGAATATATCAAAGATTTGTTTATGATGTCCTTATAATACCTATAAAGTTTTAGATATCATGGTGGTAACTGAGGACTAAATAAATTGTAGAAGTTCCTATTATGTGCTTTCTTGTAGTGTCTATTTTTTACTTTAAAAATATTTGTTAGCAACAGCAGACCAATTTTGTTGGTTGCCAATGGAAAATCCCACTGATCTCTTCACAGGCAAGAAAAATAAATAAATAAATAAATAAAATAAGTCTGTCATAGTGATGAAAATCTTTAAGTATTCTAGTACAACACATGATATTTCAAGGCATTTCACTGCTCACAAGGATTAAAGTTTGTAAGCAGTGATAAAAAGAAAATGAGCACAAAGGAGATAAATCGATCAAATTTTTACCTTTCGGCTACATGGAAATTCCCAAGCAGCACACCTACCATCTTTGAACAAACAGACAGTTGAAAACTTGCCAACATGTACTTTTTTTCCCACAAAAATCTACTCCGAATTTCCACTTCCCTTAGACAGTCTTTTTGCCAGTCACAAAAGACACAAAAGAATCAGAAATCCCACTTCATGCCTTTCTTTGGGAACTTTCAATATTGGTTTGACCCAGAATTCTACCTGTCAGAAACAGTAGGAATACTTTGGTAGAATAGTCAGCTTAGAATTACGTTTTCGTCTATTGAACTGATTAGCAACATCAAAGAAAGAGATTACAAGTTAGTGACACTGACTTTATTCTTCAAGCATTAAAGTCAACAGGAATTTAAGAAAAAAAAAAAAAAAAAGAGATATTCCTTTGCTGATGAATGAAAAATATTTCAAGTAATTATTACCATATATGGTGTTATATTGACACAACTGTTGAGTGAGATTCTGCATGACACCCATCCTAGATCTTCCAGTATTTTGATTAGCCTTGGTGCGGGATGCGTCAGAACCACATGAGAAACTAAGCTGATTTAAAATTGTAAGAAAATAATGAATTATTTGGAGTGTACTTGCAAAAGAAGATTGTAAAAAGAAATAATGAAATATTAGTAACTTCATAACCAGAAATATAGAGACAAGATGTTATTAGTGTTTAAAGGCAGAAGAATAATCATGTGTTTCAACAGAAAAAGCAAGGCAAATAATGAGATAGATGCACAAGGACAGGAATTTGATGACAAAACTTTTATGAATAATACAAGCAGCATTTTCACACACACAAAAAAAGAAAAAGTGATGTGAAAGAAGAAAATTCTAAAGTATAGTAAGTTGTGTGTATAGATTTATTACTCTTAAGAAGTGAGTTAATTACACTCTTCTATTTAGTACTTACTAAGCACCAGTTGGAGTCCCATGCTGTCTTAAGCACCATCTTTGAAAAATGAAAACAAATTAGAGAATTCAGAAGAAGACAATAAAAAATGAGTAAGCATGTACAAAACAAGTCCCACGAGAATCCACACAGAAAAAAAAAAAAGGAGAGATAGTTACTGATAAAACATGTTGCAGGATGTAACAAAATGGACAGTGAGCAATTGACAGAGAACTATTAGGTTTACTGGGAAGTAACAGGAGGGGAAATGTATGTTAAATAAAAACATCTCTATAAGAATATTTTAGAATTTAGGGAATAAAGCACTTAGAATTAAAATAGCTAAAATCAGTTGCTGCAGTTTAGGATATTGTAGAGTCCTGCTGTGCTATAAAAGAACAGATCTGCTGTTTTGAGAAGTCCCTTGTGAGCCAAGATTTTCATCCATCTTTATGTGGATATGGATATGTGAATACACACTTAATGTACATGTGGAAATGTTAATACAGACCTAAACACTTCACTACTGTATATGGAGGAGGAAATGTAATTGATAATATCTTCTCATACCAATATCTCCTCATAAGTGAAGGCATGACAAAAGTCATAAAAAGGTTGGGCCATTTATTATACAGAATGGATTTTCTCCTTTCACTGTTCTGAAGGCTGAAATGCTTTTACCTGATGGCAGTGCAGTGCTGAAACTGCTTAAATGGAGGAGAGAAGAGAAATATGAAAGACTGTTAAACTTTCACTAACTTCAGAATTCTCTTAATAAATGCAAAATTAGGCATAGGTTTTGAAATGCCATTCTGAATCTGACAACCTTTGCAGGCTGTATCTGTATTAAAATTCATTGGAGAGCTGCAGCTAATGGCCATTAACTCTTAGAAATTTTGGTCTAGCATACAGGTGGAAGAGGTTTCCAGCATAGGCTTGGATTTATATATCACTGAAAGAGTAGGAATGTCATTGCCACCTCCTCTATGACTGCTTTGATTTGAATACTATAGCTGCAGCTGTCCTGTCATATAATCTGGGAAAAGTACATGCTACAAACAACAAAATTGGTTAATAGAGCGAGGTGTGTTATTTATTTTTCTAGACAGCTGCTGCCAAATGAATTGGTAAGTAATTGGCCTAAGTAAGTGGTATCTCAATGTACACAATTTTTCTGTTAATGAGAAATTATATTGTCAAGAAGAAAGGTAAGATCTACAGGTACCTCTTAAATACAGCAGTTTTGATTCCAACCCTCTATCTCCAATATCAAGGAACTACTGACTACCCAGTATCTGGAGACCACAAAAAATGCAGACTAGTTCAAATACCAGGCACATCCTACTCTTTTTCATGAAGATCTGCTATTGGCCAAAGTTAGAGACTGACAGGATAGTTAAGGTGACTGAGTATGTAGTCCTCATGTCTCACTGATCAGACTTACAAAATATGGTTGGTTTTAGTTATTCTTACTTCTTACTAACTGGATATAATAAAAAAGATCTGCTTAAACCAGTAAATAAGTGTTGAGAAACTGAGAATGACAGCAGTGTCATTTTATTTATGAAAAGGAACTGGATAGAAGAAAAGGGAAAGAAACAGAACTGACAGTATTTTAAAATGTTTCCCTGTTCCCTACTCAGAATTTTTGGAGATGTGACTATTTTTTTCTATTCCGTAAGAATCCCAGATTCAGAAGCAAGGGAAAAGGAAAATGCTAACCAAATGTCACATGTCTAAATTAAGATACTCTGTTTTCTTTTGTTGTTTTGATACCAACAAAACTACTCCTCTAGCTCTCTAGGCTGAAGACTTAATATAGCCTCTTATCTAAATCATTTCACTGCCTTCATCCTATATTCACTGTGGCATGTCTGACGGTATTTTCCACATTTTACATAGGAGAGTACAATAGAAAGTGCCTTCCTTTCTAAATATAGAGAGTTGTTAGTTGTTATAACACATATCATAAAATGTTACATTTATGAATTTTCATTTTACTAGTAATTCTCAGTAAGATCATACATTAAACACCATGAATCCCTGTTAATTCAAAGAGTCGTCAAAACACTATAACTTAATAAAAACCTTTACATCTAATAAAGATCTTAACTATCAGAAAAACACTGAAAAAGAGCTAGATAACTTGTTCTAGTACACAATCCTTGCTGGCGTTATCTGACTAGAGGGAAATGGAGAATAGCCGTTTGTAAATTCTCTCCTCAAAATCCAAATCATATTAAAAGCTTTCCTGTTGCCAGAAAACATCAAGCAGCCTCTAACAGGGCAGAGGTCCCCTTGGTCCACACATTGTATACTTTAGTACACAGGCCAGGGAGTGTAGAAGTGAAATATCATGTTGACCCAATAGATGAACTAATGAACCGTTTGTTCTATATTTCTTTAAGTTTATTGATTTTGAAACTAGCTGCTAAATTCTTGTATTTTCCTCTAAGTCATTCAGTACTAATCCTTAAATCTTTCTTTCCTTCTGCAGTGTTGTTTTCTGCACTGAACTCTATTAGTTCTTACTCTTCCTAGGTATCATGACTGGCTTTTGCAACCAGTCTTATCTACAAGAAAATCCTCCCTTTGCCCCATTTCTGTCATCTACATCTCTCCTGATACGTCACCTTCATGTGGAAAAATAGCAAACAGATCTCTCTAGGGCTGCCAGTGCTGCTTCATCAGCTGAAAGGCAGGGCTGTCCTGCCTAGTGATGCAGTCAACTTTCTTCTCCTCTATCCTTCAGGATACTGTGTCTTCTTGGAATACAACCAGGTCCTTCATCAGTCCACTGAAATTGTCCCAAATCCTTTGGAATCTAATAGCAAGCTGACTGGATTTGCTGCAGTTACAGCTGCCTTTGACATCTGGTCAGGTCGTTAAATTCTGCTGTGTGCTATTTAATAGTGCGGGTATTTACAGAATGTTCTGGTCACAAGAAAAACAAACAAACAAACAAACAAACAAACAAACAAACAAATAAATCCTTCTAGGCTCCTGTAACTACCAAGAAAGAAGTCTTTAAATACCCCAATTACTTACAAATATCTGTACGTAGATTTGAAGATAATAGAGAGGCAGCTTCTAAATAGAGAATGCAAAGTCTAAATACACTGTTGAGAAGCAAGTGAGAGTAAATTAATCACAAGATACAAAAATAAAGTTAGAAAGGGGTAGAAAGGTAGAAAGCTCATGACGAAATTCACAACAAAGTGCAAATAGTCCAAGGCAGGGACTGCCCTCGCCCGTGTAACCTCATCCAAGGATTTTTCTTCAACTTCATATGTGGGGGAAAAAAATGCATTACTGTCATAGAACATTGTGTCAGTGATCTGAGGAAGGCAACAGAACCCAACCTGGCCTGAAAAGAAACCTGAACTGGCGGCTGTAATAAGGAAGATGGTACATATACTATTCAGGAAAACTGGCAAAGTTTACATGTCTCATCCAGTGTAGCACCTAAAACTTTTCCTGTACAGATTGGAAAGAACAGGGTTTTTTCACATAATCACTCCAGCGATCTACAAGAATTGTACTAGCAGTCTACAGAGAAGAGATGATGCATAACATTAGCTGCAGAACTGTCTCAAAACATATTTCTCTATGTTAAAAATCAGTAAAAAGTTTGCCCTAGTACACAATGACATACTGACAACTAGCAGAAAGTGCAAGACACAAAGATTAAAAGATGCAATTGAATTACCCTATGGAAAGCATAAATATGTGTGCGCATAATATAGGAAGCTTACAATTAAACTTTAGAAATATCAAACTTGAGCGAGCAGAAAAGCAAACTAATTGAACTCATGAGAGACCTATGCTTCCAAGGATATTAATTCTGTCAGTTGTGCATATTAAAACGGCACTATAAGCCATGCAGTCTCATTGTTTCCACACAGGCTACTATTAAAATATATAAAATGCAAAAGCATTTGTTGTAGAATTTTAAAGCTGGACAAAGAAGTATTATTGTCTAGCTACCCAGAATAAAACATTGGAATTCTAGTATCACAGCATTACAACTTAAAAAAAAAAAAAAAGAAAAAAAAAAAGAATAATTTCATTATATCTACAGAGAAAACAGTTTAGTGACAGTGGATAAGCCAGAAAAGATGAAAGACTATCTTTTGTGATGGCTATGAAGTTCTGATATACATAATGGAATATTTATCTCCTGGAAAGATATCTGGACATTTTAGAATAATAAAGTAATAAGGACCGTGAGCGGGCAAATCAAGGAACTAGAATTACTGTGGAGGTTAAACCTGATACATGTAAATAGTGCTTTGCCTTACTGAGCCTAACATCATAGAATGAAAATTTCATATTCTTACATACACCAATACAGTTGTTATTTGTTTAAAATTTAAAAAAATAGATTATATAAGAAGTGAAGAGGAATAAGTTAACAATTTCGATTTTTTTTTTCAAGTTTTCCCATGATCTAGAATGCCAACAACAAAAAAAATAATTCTGAAAATAAGTCTTGTACAGTGTCATCTATATCTTCATCTGCCTCACTGCTTGGTTAGTAATTTAATATAACTGGGAAACAAATGCATAAAAAAGTGTTTGTTTATGTTTCTATGGCAAGTAATCTCCTACTTCAGGATGCAAGCCTTTTTCCTCTTGTATATTTATGCCTGAATTAATTCTTCTCCTGTACAGCTCCATTACACATTTGATTGACTGCTCTGGTTACATCAGTGTTTCACACTGTAGGCTTAATGGATGTATTTTCCATGTAAAAATAGTTAACCAGTATTATGTGTCTGTATTTTTGTCAGCTAACCAAAGATGAGGCCAAATCATTAGAAATGTTTCTTTAATGCTATATTGTAGGGTGGGTTTTTTTTAGTACTTGATCTTTTCCTACTAGGAATAACAAACAAAATAGGATAGTACAGTAAATTTTATTCATGTTGCTGCTTTAAGATATGTGTGATGAATATTATTATTATTACAATCAGCTCAGTTTCATAGTTCTACAACCCTGTAGTTGGTTACTTTAGTCTTAAGGAAAGTTAACTAACAGTTCAAGATGGAAGTATACAAAACTGAAACGGCTGATCTGAAACAGAAATAAATGGAAAACAGTTCATAAAGAATAATTTACTCACTTAAGATAATATT